TGCATACATTGCTTGAATTGTATTGCCATGCAAGTTCTGTCCTCTGCTGCTGTGAGTTGCAGGTTCTGCAGGCATTCTTTGCCGACCGGCAGTGTACATTGCCGACCGGCACTCATATCTCTGCCGATAGCTGCACCAATGGCCGGTAGCTATATATCACTGCCGGTGGTAATCCCACTCGGCCGGTGATGTCTTCCAGTATCCAGAGAAGCAATCCCGAGGTTTTGGCAGCCTCCAGAGGAGTAAAAGAAGGAAAACAGAGGCAGCCTATGCATGGTCGTGCACTTCCGAGCAAGACCTGAGCACGCACTGCATCTGGCCCTCCCCCCGAGGCAGTTTACTGCTTTTCCTAGCTTAATTAGTTTGTTAATTAATTAGGTAATTTGTAATATTTAATTAGCTTGCGTAGTTAATTAATTTGTATTATTTATTTGGTCCCTCCGAGTGAGGGAAAATCTGTAATAAGTGTGGGTGAGTGTGTGTATGTCTTCCAATCCCCACTTCTTTCTTCCCTTTTATTTACCTGCTTTGATGGTTAGTATTAGGGCACGTTTAATTTAGCATACCTTATGCTATGCATACGTGCATTCATGCATTTGTGTTGCATGCATTAGGCTCGGTACATCATGCTAACTGCATTTGTATTCCAATCCCAAATTGAATACGTGCATCAATTAATCGCATTTCACATGCCATGTGTAGGTTAGCCGAGCCTATTCTAGTAACATGTTGTATGTGATGCATTAGGCACCTAACATGGACTTGGATCATGCATGTCTGCTAACAAGTTCTTTGCTTTGGCGCGGAGTACTATGTAAGTATTTTAAAATGTTTTAGCATATCGCATGCGTGTGAATGCTACCATGACGGCATGCTTATCATGTGGCTAAGTGCTTATATGAGATAAACTGTTTGAATGCCCGTGGGTGGAGGTTGGATTGTTTGACACTACTACAAAAATAGTTAAAGATCACACTTTGACAAAAAAAAAAAGATCTCACTTTTATTGGAAGTGTGATAAAAAAAATTAGATTGATATTTTAATCACACTTAATTTGATTGAGTGTGATAATATTTATTTTTTATGTCACTTTTCAATTAAGTGTGATTATATATATATATTTTTAATCACACCTTCTAATTAAAGTGTGATTATATATACACTACTACTTTTTAATCACACTTTTTAAGTAATACTACAAGAAAAGTGGGCTTATGAGACGGAACTTTTTGCGACGGCACATTTGCCGTCGCAAAAAATGTGACCTTTTGAGACGGCACAATTTTTTCTATTTTTATTCAATTTCCATCTCCATTCAATTTCCTTTTTTATGTAATTTCGAAATATATCGTTAAGGTGTAGTGGTTTCTTGAATGAACTTCCATTTTTAATTTTATGCAACTTCCATTTTGATTTTTATTCCACTTTCATTTTAATTCAAATTCCTTTTCTATTGAATTTCCTTGTTTATTTAATTTCCAAATAGATCGTTAAGGTGTAGTGGTTTCTTTAATGAACTTCTATTTTTAATTTTATTTAACCTCCATTTTATGTTTATTCCATTTCCATTTTTATTCAATTTCCTTTTCTATTCAATTTCACTACTACAAAAATAGTTAAAGATCACACTTTGACAAAAAAAAAGATCTCACTTTTATTGGAAGTGTGATAAAAAAAATTAGATTGATATTTTAATCACACTTAATTTGATTGAGTGTGATAATATTTATTTTTTATGTCACTTTTCAATTAAGTGTGATTATATATATATTTTTTAATCACACATTTTAATTAAAGTGTGATTATATATACATTACTACTTTTTAATCACACTCCCTAAATAGGTGTGATTGTATAAAATATTTCAATTTGATTTTTATATAAAATATACAATTCCCAAATCCGCGCCTCTATTCTACCCATGAATGATAGAGATGACTCACTACTAGAAAATGAGGCTTTAGACACAGAACTTTTTCACCCATTTTTTCTTCTTTCTATCTCTCTGTCTTTGTCTCTCTTCTCTCTCTCTCTCTCACTCATCACTCTTCTCTGTCTGTCTGTCTCTCTCTCTCTCTTTTTCTCTGTCTATCTCTCTCATCTCTCTCTGTCTCTCTTCTCTATCTCTCTTCTCTTTGTCTCTCTCGCTCATCTCTCTCTGCCTCTCTCTCGTTTATCTCTTTTCGCTCTTTTTTTCTCTCCCTCTCTCTTTGTCTATATCTTTTCACCCATTTTTTCATCTTCCTCTCTCTCTTCTCTTTCTCTCTCTCACTCATCACTCTTTTCTTTCTGTCTATCTGTCTCTCTCTCTCTGTGTGTCTCTCACTCATCTCTCTCTTCTCTCATCTCTTTTCTCTTTCTGTCTCTTTCACTCATCTCTCTTCTCTCTATCTCTCTCATCTTTCTCTGTCTCTCTCGCTCATCTCTCTTCTCTCTCTCTCTCGTTCATCTCTCTTTTCTCTATCTCTCTTTCTCGTTCATCTCTCTTCTCTCTCTATTTTTTTTCTGTCTCTCACTCTCTATCTTTTTGTCCCTCTCTCTTTTCTCTTTCTCTCCCACTATGTTCGCGTTGCTCACTTTCTCCCTTCTGTCTTCTCTATTTACTGAGCTCCCTCTCGATTTATCTATCCACTACAAGAAAATGCACTTTTAGCGACCATTTTGTCTCTCTCTCGCTCATCACTCTGTCTTTGTCTCTCTCTCTCTCTCTCATCTATCTGTTTCCCACTCATTTTTCTCTCTCTCACCACTCATCTCCTTTACCACCTTCACCACTACTGCAAACGCCATTCCATTACCACCATTACTACCACTGTCGCCACTTCACCTCTACGACTACCATTGCTACTACTATTGCCACCGCTACCACTACTGCCACTATTACTATCATTACCTCTCATTAACCCTTGTCACTTCATCTACTCTACCACTACCACAACTTCACCACTAATCTCCTTCGCCGCCACCACCACCATCATCTCTTATCTACCACCTTCACCACTACTGCCACTACTACTACCATTACCTCTCATTTACCCTTGCCACTTCATCTACTCTACCACTACCACAACTTCACCATTAATCTCCTTCGCCGCTACCACCACCACCACCATCATCTATTATCCACCACCTTCACCACTACTGCCACTCTCTATCCTCAAAAAAAAAAAAAAAAAAAAAAAATCATTAATTACAAAAAAATATATATTTTAACAAAAAATATTTTTTTTTTACGACGGCAACTCCCGTCGCAAAAAAAAAAAGAAAGTTAAACGACATTATTTTGTTATTTAAATTTCATTTCTGACAAAAAAAAATATTTTTTATTCCTGCCTGTTTTTGTTTTCCATTCTCGCTCTATTCTCTCTCTATCTCTTCTATCCGTCTCTCACTCATCTCTCTCTCACCACCCATCTCCTCTACCACCTTCACCACTACTGCAAACGTCATTCCACCACCACCACTAGTTCCACTGTCGCCACTTCACCTCTACGACTACCATTACTACTACCATCGCCACCACTCCACTGCCACCACTGCCACTACTGCCACTACTACTACCATTACCTCTCTTTTACCCCTGTCACTTCATCTACACTACCACTACCACAACTTCACCACTAATATTTTTCGCCATCGCCATCACCACCACCATCATCTCTTATCCACCACTAATGTCGCTCCCTTTCCTCTACCACAAAAAAATAGTTCATGATTTTTACTAACCAAAAAAAATAGGCCATAGAAAAATATTTTTCATTGACCACAGAAAATAAACTTTTATTTTAGTGGAAAATATTTTTCATTAAAATATTACCCCTACTTCTACCAAATAAAAATAAATAATAATATTTTTTTTAATTAAAATAAAAATGAAACAAATAAATTTTCAATCATTAGTAGTAACAAAAAAAATGAAATTTGATTTTCATTAACTACAAAAAAATATATTTTAACAAAAAATGAAATTTTTTTAACGGATAGCACCGCCGTCAAAAACAAAAAAAAGAGTAAACAGTATTATTTTATTAATCTTATATATTTATTTGTGACCCCAAAAAAAAAAGATTTTAATTTTTTTTTATCCACCCCCCGTTTCCCTCTCTCTTTTTTTTTCATTCCCGCTTTTTTTTTGCCATCCCCCCCACCCCCCGGGTGCAAAACCAAAATCCCTAATCGCAACATCACTGTCTCTCTTACTCTCTCGTTTCTGCACCGATCACCCTCTCACTCTCTCGTTGTTCATCTCATCGCACCGATCATCATCGCACAGCCGATCTACTCACAGGTAAACTCTCTCTCTCAATCTCTGTCTCTCTCTCTCCCGATCGTTGATTTATTTTATTTTATATATATATATATATCTCTGATCTGACCTAATCGGCTCCCTCACTCTCTCATCTCATCAGTCTCACACTCACTCTCTGGTTTTGCATCTCTGCACCGATCGACTCACACACAGGTAAATATGAATCTGTCTGTTAATCTGTGTTTGTTTTGGCACACCGATCGACTCTCACACTCACTCTCTGTGTTTGTTTTGGCCTCTATTTGGAATGTAAATTTGAATCTGTTATTAATCTGTAAATATGAATCTGTTTTGGCCTCTATTTGGAATGTATATATGAATCTGTTTTGATCTTAGTTGTGTCTTAGTTGAATCTCTTTGTTTTATTAATTGTGTTGTGTCTGTTATTAAATCTGAAATCAGAAAAAATAGGCGGAATAATTTTGGTCTCTAATTGTGGAATTCATATTGTGTCTGTTATTGAATCTGTTTTGGCATCTAATTGTGTCTGTTATTAATTATTTTGTTTGGAATTCAAATTGACCAACTAGGTGGAATTCAGAAAAAATAGGTGAAAAAATAGGTGGAGTCAGGAAGTCCTATAGATGTTGTCTTTTCTCTAAGAAGGTAAATGCAATTTTTCCTTGTCAAAAAATCCAAGTAAAATTTGAATCATATGAGCATTCACCCCAGAATATAATAACCTTACAAATGAAATCAAATTTTAAAAAGTATACAACTCTTAAAATGCCAAAACACTATCTTGGTGACTATCTTCTTCTTCTTTATTTATTTATTTAATTTTTAAATTTCCCCAGCTATGAGGATTCAAGAAGACTACAGATTGCTGTTATCCATGGACTGGCACAAATGGCTGCGATCATGGCCTCAACTTACAAGGCATATTTGGATGTAGGCCTTGGCCCATTATCGGTAGGAGTGTGATAAGCACATGTTGTTGTCTAATTAAAATAAACTCGAGCTTTCCATGGAGTTCTGCATGCATTTCATTACAGCTTATATTATGTTTTACAGTTTTTGACAAAGTTTAGGATACCACATCCAGGAAGAGTTGGAGGGAGCTTTTTTATCGACCTTGCAATGCCTTTAATGTTGAGTTGGGTCCTCGGCGGTAATGGGTCAGTTCAGATAACCCTTTTTCATATCAGTTCTTAGTATAGGCTTTCATGTTTTTATCCTGATTTTCCTTCTATTCTTGCATTACGACTAATATATAGTAATAGGGCTTATTCTGAGCTTGCTGGACTTATTGGCCAAATGCCAAGCATTACACATCAAAACCTCTGAGCCCTGGGATCTTCAAAATAAACATTTTGGTGTTTTTTTTTGATAAAATACTATATAAATTTTGAAAATCTAGTTTTTGTAAAAAAATCTATCCATTTAGTTTGAAGTTTGGACTAAGGGGGTGTTTGTCAAAGTTTATTTTTTTGGCTTTTTGGGCTAAAATCTACAAAAAGACAAAATAGGCTAAAATAGCCAATAAGATAAAATATCACATTAAACCCATAATCATTTCACTTTTTCTCTCACAAATATCACATTCAACTACAAAAATATCTAACTATCTTCTCAAACATAAAAATTTTAACCTACTAAAATAGTCAAATATTAAAATAGCCTACTAAAATAACAACTCTCCAAACACCCACTAAGGGAAAAAGTGGAATTATTTTGAGTAATCTACGCCTGAAAGTCATGTAGTTTTGTTTAAAGTTTAAATGAGGCTTTATTACTTTTGCAGCTCAAACCTTGATGGGAGATCATTAAGTTGCAGACTCTCAGACAAAGTATGTTGTTCAAGCACTGAGATTCTGTATATGTCACTTAAAATATAGTTCAAATATAGCTCTTTGTGCTTTTTGATGATTGGAATTTTGTTCTAAAGCTAATATGTGGCAATGATTAATGAAGGCAAATGATCAATTAAGAAATTGGTTTGAAGATGATGATGCTCTTGAGCGTGCTGTTAATGGAGAGTATGTATAACAAGCCCAAAATCTGCCTTTTTTTTTTTTTTTTATATACATATTTTTAATATCATATTCTGTAGTCATGTGCACATTCCATCACTGTGTTCATGTCGATTCGTTTCATTTTTTTTTTTTTTTTTTTTTTTTTTTTGATGGGGGGCCGTTTCTACTACCAACCAAAGCCAACCCACACAATGACACACACACCAATGGCCACACCCACAACACTCAAGCATTGAAATAATATAATTTTTATATATAATAATAATTTATAATAATTAATTATATAATTTTTATAATTTTCGTAAATATAAATCATTTTTCACTTGAAACAATTGCTTTCATCATGCCACAGTGAGTTATCCGAACGTCCTGCAGTTTCCTTAGATCTCTAGCTATGGAAAGTGAGAACGTAGTTTGTAGTTTATGACACCAGAACACATCTACAGACGTCAGGTTGCCGAGCCATACAAGTTGGGTGGGACCCTTCCACATATTTGTCAATTCAGGCAAGAAATATAGTACCAACTCTTTCAATGCACGGAAAGCCGTGTTCGGTAGTCGGTATTCATGACATTCATGGCTAGTAATCCCTTTGAAATTATATAGATTACGAAGATACAGACACTCACAGGAAAAGCACTCTGGGGAACCCCATCTGTTGTATTGATGAGGTATTCCAATTCAGTCAAGTAGTCTAGTGTCAATTTCATTAAGCATTCAAAACCATCTTCGTCGACCAAATCACAGAGAATTTTCAAACTTACTGCAGTTGCGGTTAAAATAAGAATTTCAGTTCTCTTCAACAGCAAATCAAACCTCGTTTCAATGTCACTCAAGTTTTGACCTTGGAGATCCAACTTATTTGATAACGAATAACGAGGGTCAGGGATGCCACCAAAGTGTACTTATAGGGTCGGGATCTTGCCTCTATGACCTCTTATGTGCGGACCCCTCCACAAATTGGTATTGCCAACAGAGAGATGGTCAGATGCCTTATTTTGGTAATTCAGCTTTAATGTTCGTCTTTCTTGTTCTAATGTTATTTTTTAATATTTTGTTGTTTCATCAATATTTTTGTCATGCATATATTTTACTTTCCATACCCCTGACCAATTTGAAGTGTGTTTGCTTCATCTCAACTAGACAATACTATGGATACACCAAGAATATAATAGGGAGAATTTCGGGAAATCCAATAACATTATACAATTTGATCTATTTGTATTAGTGTATTGTCCCAAAATTAGTTGTTTTATTGCCACATTATATAGTATAATTTTCTTTATATTTTGGAATTAAAATTATGGTTCAAAAGTCTTGTGTATCCTCATAATAGTACCGTACCCTCAACCGACCATCGATCCCATCATAATTTATTCATAAACAAAAGATTTAAACACATTCCCAAAATTCATTAAACATGTTGAAAATCTCACCATGGGGATGCCTGTGGTGGTTGTCTGTCTTGGTGCTGGAGGGAGGGATGAGGTGTTTGGTGGGGGACTAATTGCTTACAATAATATTTTCCTTTTTTTGACAGATGTAAGTTATTTTATACTCACATGAGTTACTGTTCTTGTCAACTTTTGTGTTATCTGTTTTCTTCTGCTTTACTACCTATATCATTGTGAATTCATAACTATTCCCTTCATTGAGTGATTTCTCAAATTCATCATATCTGTCATATGGTTTTGATTCTCAACAAAAGCATACATGGACAGACTTTAATTGTGGAGAATTTGCTATTTCAATAGAGTATTTTGTCATGGTTGAAAATCATATAATTCTCGTATTTTTGACAGTTACAATCTTTAAAGTATCTATCTGTGGCTGATCCTATTCCTATAAAGATGTGCTTCATCTCAAGTTATTAAATTAGGGAGCTGAAGGTTTAGATAAGGGGGTTGTATGCAAGTTGTTTCTTTTTAATTTAGTGTGTTGGGCTCTTATTATTTCCTCTACTTGGATTGCTCCCATACCAATTTGTAATTATTCAGGCTATGTGGTTTCTGCTTTTAAGACCAATAAGCTTTATTGATCCTTATTTGTTTTATAGTTTTTAGTGAGTTATATGTTGATATCATATGATTTTGATTGTCCATATAATACTCCATTTTATCATTTATATGACCACATGATTTTTTCTTTTTTGGTGGGTGAGATTTATATAAAACAGGAAGAGTAGGGAATCAACCAAAAAAATTAAAAAATATGTTATAAGGCTAATGATGTGTAAAGGTTATAAGAGATCAAACTTAAACAAAATAAATGTTATAAGACCAATGATATGTAAAGGTTATGAGAGATCAACCAATTTTAATTTTTAGTCATTATCTTTAATTGTTTTAGTTTTGGTTCATTTGTTGATGAATTTTCAGTGTGCTGAAGTTTTAGGCAAAATAGAAGAATTGGAGCTGAAAGTTGTCTTTTGTGTGTAGGAAATCTACTCTTTCTATCTGTCTTCTTTGAAAGTCTATATTTGAATTTGGGTCCCTTATTTCTAGTGCGTATGAGTGAATCTGGAATCTTTTTTCAATTTACTGCTTCAGTTTGATGTTGTCTTTATAACTCTACAATCATTTAGAAATCGATCTTTGTTTGCAAGACTCATTCTTTTCTTTTTGAACAATCTTATGTTCTTACATCTGTTTTTATTTTCTTTCCCCTGATTGCGTGACCTTTATCATTTGCAACTAACAGTTGCACGTAAATTGATATAACCAGAGGGCATCATGCGTCTTGTAGCCCAATTGGTACATAAATGCTACACCCAAAGTAAAATGGGTGTTTCGAGCCTCACTAATTGGTACGTAGTTTAATGTGATGTATGATGCTCGTAATAACGATGCAAAGAAAGGACATGAAAAGCTTGAGGGAAAATGTGCTTTTTATTGTTGAATTACATTAGATCCAACACAATTTTGCTGTTTAGTGTAATCATTGTTTGGTCAGTGGTGGGGTTTGAGTTTTTGTTCATAAATTTGTTTACTACGAAATGTGAACTGATTGAGGTTAACCATTGTCTTCAAGTCCATGTCTAACTCGACCATCACCACCATAATTATTGTTGTCAGCTATAATCCTCCTCAAAATAATATTTGGAAGTCATAACTCAGTCTCATTCTCTCTTATAGGCTGAGTTGATATAGTTGTGGTAGACTGGTAGTAATTTAAACAAGAATTTTGTCAGCTGGAAATTATATTCTTTTTGTTGCTATTAAAAAAAGGAAAATACAGGGTGTTTCATTGGGAGTATGTGCAATAAAAAATTTTCAGTATGAATGAATATGTGATAAATGTATGGAAACTTCGAAATGATACACCAAATTTTCTCCTTTTATTTAGTATAGTATAGATGTACATATTAATGTTCTTTTTCTTTTTATGTTTAGTTGTTTAATTGGTTTGGTACTTTGATTTCTCTTTGTACAGCTGTTGAGTATCTTTAGAATTAGATTTAGAACAAGACTGCACTGCTATGTTGATGGAATAAGTTAAAAAAAAATTTACCTTGTTCTGTGAAGTTTAAAATTTGTTGAGACCCATTACATATCATTTTGGCTACATCAGTTTGATTTATTTATATTTATTTATTTTTTAAATTTAAGAATATGACTATAAAACAACCACCACATAACTATACTAATAAATAAAATTTTAGACTATAAAACAACCACCACATCCTCTTAGACAGCAGGCAACATCAGATCATTAAGCACCAGCAAAATGGCAAGCAACAGCAGACAACAAGCTTCAGCAAGAAGGTAACAACAACAGCAGCAGCAGTAGCCAGTAGCACAGAACCTAATTTTGGAGAAGCTATGAGTACGGAAGGTGTCACTGCCATATTTTGGTGTTTCTATTGAAGAATATGTGACTAATTTAATGGGCCGACCATTTTGTTTCTTAATAATACTGATATCTACCACACCGACTCTGGTTAAATGATAAATTTGATTTTGTTTGGAAGCAGGTTAGTTGAAAAGACCACACAGCTGAACAGTGAGAAAATGCAGAAAGAAACTGAAGTCCAGAAACTTATGGAAGAAAATGTGAGGTTGACCGCTCTACTTGACAAAAAAGAGGCCCAGCTCTTGGCCATGAACGAACAATGCAAGGTGATGGCCTTGAGCGCTTTGAATATTTTGTTTGGTAGTAGGGTCTTGATTGCATGTTTCCTTAATGTGTTTTCTGCTCGGCCCACTTGCTGACCTTCATTGGGAGTCGGCAAATAATATTGGGCAAAAAAGTCTGCTTTCTTGAATGTACCATTGATTTCCAACTTAACCTTCACATGTATCAATCAACTGAGTTGTTCTTAATTTGTTAGAATCTCACACTAATAAATTAATATAACCAACACTTGTTTACACACATAAATGTTATGTCCAGGTTCCAGTGGATCTTGTCATTGACAATTCTGTTCAGGTTGATGTGGCAGGAAGTGAATGCAATGCAGGCAAATATGGGGCTTGAATTTCAGAGAAACAAGGAGAGGTTTGTTTTTCTGAAGTGGGGTTCCAATGTTTTTCACAATATGCTCATTGTTCCTCCTGGTTCTGGTATTGTCCACCAGGTAAGACTTTGGCATCAATAGTGCATCAAGGGTATTTCTATATCTAGATGTTATACTGTTGTTAAAGGAAAATTCTCATGGCAAGGTGCAAGAATTTGACCTTAAGGTGGTATGAATGGTTTACTCTTAAAAGGGCCAAAACATTAGATAGGTATAGGCTCAATACATGAGGTTTGCAATGTTTAACTATTTATGGGGCTTCCAGAGTAAAGCCACATTTACCTCTAGCCTCTTGTAAATCATAGTCCAAGTTTTCTCATTTTTTTTAGCACTATAATATTATTTGGTAGGTTTGGCATTTAGCAAGTGACTCTGGTAATTTTCAAGTTAATCTTGAATACCTTGGATGGGTTATTTTCTACACAAATGGCATTTTGTACCCTGATAGCGTGGTTGGAATTGATTCCCATACAAATATGATTGCTGGCTTAGGAGTTGTTGGCTGGGGAGTTGGAGGAATTGAATCTGAGGCTACAATGCTTCGCTAGGTATTTTGAGATAATAATGTATTTTCTTTATGATTTTCTATACGCTTGTGCCAATTGTTAGTGTTTGCAGTTATTCTTTGGTAGATAGACATGCATGAAATGGGTAGCTGTTTTTTCCTCTTTTTCCTCCAAAGGTGCAAAAGAAAATGCAGCTTCTGCTTCTTCAAAACCTGCTGCTGGTGCTGGTGATAGTAACTGCAATGTATCCCCCCCTCCCAAAAAAAGAGTAAATTCTTGAGTTTTTATTTATTTATTTATGGGTACCTAGAATTATGGTTCAACAGTAATAATAATATATATTCACAAAAAGATCGTACACAAGCTGTATTGAAATTTATCATTTTTAAATATTGTGCTCATTAGTGACCTTCTAATTACAATGTCATTGACACTGAGCTGCTGTCGCATCTAATTGTTAACAGGGAAGTTACTTCCAAAAGAATTAAGATCAAGCAGAAATAATTAATGTTTCTATTTTGGTTTGCTGAATTAACTTTTTAGTTTATTCATATGCATCAGCGGTTTCTGGATTAATTTGTGTTTTGATTTTTCAGGTCAGAATTTTTTTGGAGAGATGCAAAATATGGTCCAAGAATTAAAGAACTTAGTTTTTTTAAGTTTTTTCATTTTTTAATATATGTAAGCACAGTTAATTTTTTTATTATTTAATTCCTTTGTATATACTTTTGAATATTTAATTTTCATTTATGAAATATATGACGTTATTCTATTCAATATGTGGTTATGATTCAAAATATAGTATATAGTGTGTATTACAATATTCAAATGTGCATACAAAAATAATATTGATTATTTTTCAAATATGTAGCACCTTTTTTTTATCACAAATTTTATTAGTTATTAATCACACTTAAAAGATGTGATATAAATGTTATTAATCACACTTAAAAGATGTGACGCAAATATTTTTAATCACACTTAAAAGGTGTGATCTAAATGTTATTAATCACACTTAAAAAGTGTGATTAAAAATAATCATTTTTAATCACACTTCCAAAGATCACACTTAAAAGGTGTGATCAAAATATTTTTAATCACACCTAAAAGGTGTGATCTAAAGTTTTTAATCACACTTAAAAGGTGTGAACTAAAGTTTTTAATCACACTTAAAAGGTGTGATCTAAATATTTTTAACCACACTTAAAAGGTGTGATCTAAATGTTTTTAACCACACTTAAAAGGTGTGATCTAAATATTATTAATCACACTTAAAAGGTGTGATGAAAGCATTTTTTAATGACACTTAAAAAGTGTGATTAAAAATGACCATTTTTAATCACACTCCTAAAGACCACACTTTAATAAAACTTAAAAAGTGTGATTAAAAAACATACATCACAGCAAAAAAGTGTGATCTTTATCTATATTTGTAGTAGTGTGAGTTGGAAAAATTCGTTGAAATTCGTATTTTAGCCTACTTACGAGTAGCAAATTCCAAAGTACTTTTTTTTTTAAAAAGGCAAACGGATATGCAATGCTTATTTCCAAATTAGGCAATCTAGTCTATACTTGTTTGCTGCGCGCATAACATAGTAACGCTAGGCTAATAATTGGTTTAAGAACACATAACTTTTTCAAAAACGGATATCACGGTTAGTAGAGGCCGATCTTTGGATCGGGCGAGAGGGGGTGCTCATAGCTGACCTTCCCCAATCGTACCCTAGCTCCTGAGCCAAGAAACTCCGGTGATGACGGACATGTCGCCTTCGGCACCGAGTCAGGGTTTCCTAAATTCCCCCATAAAAAATATTTAGGTGGCGACTCTGTATCTGGCAAAGCAGTCCATGTTTGGCACTTCTTTTCAAAAATCTGTTTCTCAAAACGATTTACCAGATTTGGACTCTTTGGTTCAGATAAAGAACCGTGACAATTTGAGAGTCCGAGCTGTAGTGACCCCACAAATGAAAAGAACGGGACTCACCCTCCCGGGGCGTTCGGGGGACGTCTACACAACGGAGCCCAAGGCTGCCAAATGACCTGAAAGTGACATACAGTTTGTTATCTACTATTATTGAAATATGTAGTGGAAAGGCGAAGCTTAAATGAACTGCAAGTAAAACATACCTCGGCAGGGGTGATGGTGTCGAAGAAGCGGCGGAAGAAGCTAAATGTCTCTCGCAGCCTCTGGGTGCATCTCCCGTCAAAGCGACGCGAAAAAGGAATGACCAGAGGAGTCTCCGTCTCCGGTACGGGAGCGAGCCTAGGAAAGTAGGCATAAACCCACAACTGCAAGGTAAATACCAGTGCATTTATCAGATAAAGCAAAATATAGAGTAAAAGCAGAAATAGCAGAGCCATGTGTTGTGCAGTGTATTGTGCAGAGTGTGTAGTGTGAGCAGTGCACAGTCAGTGTAAAGCAGAGTATGTGTGTGCCGTGTGTACAGTATACAGCAAGTATAAAGCAGACTATAGTGTGTGCAGTGTACAGAGTACAGAAAATATAGGACAGAAATGAAAGGCAGAAAAGAAATATACCTCCCAAACACGCCAATAGCCCCCGAGCAACTGTCCGCTGCCGCGAGAAGCTGAGCTCATATATCTGTAGAGAGTGGCCAGAGCAGCGCCACCCCAGTCGTAATGCAAGATGTCTCTGACGTCCACCAGTGCGCTGAGCAGGCAGAGAGGCACGGTGTTCGCTCGGTCGGCGAAAATGGTCGTCCCAAACAAGAACATCAGAAAGTTGCGTGCGTATCTCTCCACGGCCTTCGGAGTCATCGGGGCTGCATCAACAAGGGTGGGCTGGACCCTGAACTGCACCTCAAACCAGGAATATCGGACCTAGCCAGGACGCGCCAAAGGCAATAGCTCGCCGAGCAGATAGATCTGAGCAACAGTCCACTCGTCCATGTCAGTATCAAAGGGGATCGGATCACCCCTTACCCCGATGCCTGTGAGCATCGAGAAATCATAGGGGGTCATCGTCATGTCTCCCGTCGCAGACAAATGGAACAAGTCAGTGGTGTCCCACCACCTCTCCACTAGAGCGGCGAGCAAGGGCCTGCAAGTCGTGAGCCTGGATAGTCCCCTGCAGAAAGTGCCGAAACCCGCCTGGTCTACGATGTAGCGAACCGCGTCGGGAAGCTCGGCATACCAGTCCCGAGCGCCGGTGTTCCCATACCCACGGATGGTATGGGAATCCCCCTGTAAACAAAAAAAAAAAAGAAACAACAATTGCAAGGAAACATTCAAAATGCAGTTCTAAGAAGCATATAGGTATGTAGCATGTGTGCATATTTTCAGACTCAAGCAAATACCGGGTGCCGGTATGCTTACAGTGAACTACAGCGTGTGATGCGTCAGCGTGTTTGGGTGGTTCAGAGCAGATGTAGCATGTGTGCAGGTTTGATAGATTTAAGAAAATACCAAGTGCCGGTGTGCTTACAGTGAACTACAGCGTGTGATGCGTCAGCGTGTTTGGGTGGTTCAAAGCAGATGTAGCATGTGTGCAGGTTTGACAGATTTAAGCAAATACCGAGTGCCGGTGTGCTTACAGTGAACTACAGCGTGTGATGCGTCAGCGTGTTTGGGTGGTTCAGAGCAAATGTAGCATGTGTGCAGGTTTGACAGATTTAAACAAATGCCGGGTGCCGGTGTGCTTACAGTGAACTACAGCGTGTGATGCGTCAGCATGTTTGGGTGGTTCAGAGCAGATGTAGCATGTGTGCAGGTTTGATAGATTTAAACAAATACCGGGTGCCGGTGTGCTTACAGTGAACTACAACGTATGATGCGTCAGCGTGTTCGGGTGGTTCAGTACAGTATAGCATGTGTGCATATTTTCAGACTCAAGTAAATATTGGGTACCAGTGGGTATGCAGTGAAATACAGTGAGCGCCGTGTGTTCGGGTGATTCAGGGCTAGTGCAGTGTGTGTGCATGTGTCAGTCTCAAGCAGGTATCAGTTGTACAAATGTTTACAATCAACTACAGTAAAGCAGTTAAAGAGCACAACTAGCTACGACAGTTTTGTATCCTACATTGCAGAAAGTAAAGCAGAGAAAGAAAGTTACCTCGGAAGCGCCGAAGGATAGGTGGGAGGTAGGCTCACGTAGTAATAGCTCGGGTGGCACGTGCCTGTCGAAACTCCTGAACTGGTGCAGTCCGTCAGGGGGCAGAACATGAATCGCCGGCCGGTAGGTCGCCAGGTCGAACGGGCACTCGCTCAAAGGTAGGAGCTCGACCCCGGGATCCATCTCGTGATGTGCCCATACTTTTCACATCGAAACATAGTTCAGTGGACCGTTCTATGTTAGGCGCGGCTTGTACGCGTACATCCTTTCCTAGGCAAGATTTGGTTTGGCCCGAGTGTCATTTTCATTGCATTTTAGATCACATGCATTCATTGCATCACCTTCCGCCTACGGCTTGCGCCTTTCCATGATTGAGCTTGGTCTGGTATGTGCCCATACTTTTCACATCGAAACATAGTTCAGTGGACCGTTCTATGTTAGGCGCGGCTTGTACGCGTACATCCTTTCCTAGGCAAGATTTGGTTTGGCCCGAGTGTCATTTTCATTGCATTTTAGATCACATGCATTCATTGCATCACCTTCCGCCTACGGCTTGCGCCTTTCCATGATTGAGCTTGGTCTGGTATGTGCCCATACTTTTCACATCGAAACATAGTTCAGTGGACCGTTCTATGTTAGGCGCGGCTTGTACGCGTACATCCTTTCCTAGGCAAGATTTGGTTTGGCCCGAGTGTCATTTTCATTGCATTTTAGATCACATGCATTCATTGCATCACCTTCCGCCTACGGCTTGCGCCTTTCCATGATTGAGCTTGGTCTGGTATGTGCCCATACTTTTCACATCGAAACATAGTTCAGTGGACCGTTCTATGTTAGGCGCGGCTTGTACGCGTACATCCTTTCCTAGGCAAGATTTGGTTTGGCCCGAGTGTCATTTTCATTGCATTTTAGATCACATGCATTCATTGCATCACCTTCCGCCTACGGCTTGCGCCTTTCCATGATTGAGCTTGGTCTGGTATGTGCCCATACTTTTCACATCGAAACATAGTTCAGTGGACCGTTCTATGTTAGGCGCGGCTTGTACGCGTACATCCTTTCCTAGGCAAGATTTGGTTTGGCCCGAGTGTCATTTTCATTGCATTTTAGATCACATGCATTCATTGCATCACCTTCCGCCTACGGCTTGCGCCTTTCCATGATTGAGCTTGGTCTGGTATGTGCCCATACTTTTCACATCGAAACATAGTTCAGTGGACCGTTCTATGTTAGGCGCGGCTTGTACGCGTACATCCTTTCCTAGGCAAGATTTGGTTTGGCCCGAGTGTCATTTTCATTGCATTTTAGATCACATGCATTCATTGCATCACCTTCCGCCTACGGCTTGCGCCTTTCCATGATTGAGCTTGGTCTGGTATGTGCCCATACTTTTCACATCGAAACATAGTTCAGTGGACCGTTCTATGTTAGGCGCGGCTTGTACGCGTACATCCTTTCCTAGGCAAGATTTGGTTTGGCCCGAGTGTCATTTTCATTGCATTTTAGATCACATGCATTCATTGCATCACCTTCCGCCTACGGCTTGCGCCTTTCCATGATTGAGCTTGGTCTGGTA